AAAGTGAAGTTTTGTTGAAATCGGTTGAAAAATGTAGGAAATCCGATCCCATATATAAACACACACACACACACACACACACACACACACACACGCACACACACAACCTGGGTTTTATAAGTATAACTCGATATGAGTTGTCCCCCTTTCATTCTGGCGACAGAATCGTGTTTTATTGTGTTTTCAAATTGATTTCGTGCAAAAACAATTGTGTTTTTTCAATTTTTTGCGCTCTCAGAACCACCGCAAGGTAATTTTACATAGTCCTGTGAAGTTTTATTTGAAGTCGGTTGAAAAATTTAGGAAATCCGATCCAATATATAAACGTACACACACACACACACACACACACACACACACACACACACACACACACACACACACACAACCAGCGTTTTATAATAAGTAAGATTCAAGTGAATAACATGTCATGATTAAATTATAATTAATTAGCTGCAATTTGTTTTACTAAATAATCTGACAAAATCAAACGTGGAGTGAAACTTTTATCCCCTGTATAAGAAATGTATTGTTGGTTATTTTACTATAAAATAATTTGTTGCTTATTTTTGTATAAAAATTATTGTTGGTCATTTTGCTATAGAAATGTATTGTTGATCATTTTGCTATAGAAATGTTTTGTTGATCATTTTATTATAAAATGTATTGTTGATCATTTTATTATAAAATGTATTGTTGATCATTTTTTATGAAGATATATCGCTGGTATTTTTCCCTACAAATAGGTATTGTTGATAGTTTTACGATAAAAATGTGTTTTTATACTTTTCTAGTTTTCTTATTTTTGTTCGGAGGTTTACTATTTACTTAAAACTGGGACCCCTAACAGGTGCTACCACCCCTTGTCAAGGTGGAGATAGGCATAATGTCACTTAAGAAATGGTTCCACGCTCCTCAAAATTTCCACTCATCCGATCAGGAGCCTTTGTGACAGATGTAGTTGTAGAACAGTTAAAAATTGTAGAAAAATTCAATAGATTTAATTAGTATTACTAAGATATGAATTGTGTGCAGAAGTAGGATCACACAGACATCTACTTAATTCTGTGCAAAAATAAGAACACAAGAATGTCAAATTCAAATTTCAACATTGGCATTTAATGACCAATCAGCGAAGTTGTTTCAGATGCAGCTAAAATGACTATCTTTTCCCTCCTAAAAATCAATATTAAAACTATGGGAAATTGTTATGGGACCTTACCCATAACATAATGGACTATTCCATACGTAATAAATACTGCGCCTCAAGAGGAAGCGGAGAGTTCAGTCCGAAGTCGGGTGACTGGCTGATCGGTTGAACTCTCTTCCTTCGGGGGTGGGAGGAACCCGAACGAGGCTACGCCTAAGGGCGGAGTCTCTTTCGGGGAGAATGGCTCGACCCTGAACCCGTTTAAACGTGTTCAAAGGTCATATTTTTGGCCGAGACCACGAGCTCGGAGATCCCACGGGCTCGGAGATCCCACGGGCTCGGAGATCCCACGTTAAACCGGCCTTGTGCCACATGATGCCCTCGTGGGTGGGAGTGACTAAATACCGTTCAGTCTGAAGTCTGGAGTGAAGTCCGTCAGGAGTCTGTCAGTCAGTCAGAGCGAGCGAGTCAGTCAGTCAGTCGAGTCAGAGGCAGTCCGTTCAGACAATTTCTACTAAACCTGATTGTTCGTACTAACACTTTCTACTTCTCTGTATATATTCCTGTTTGTAATATATGTGTGTTATTCCATATCCGTGTTCGAGTTCTTCTTTATTGGTTCTACTTTGGACTATCACCGTGGTACCAGGAACCGGACCATAACACCATTAAAACTTCTGAATTTAATAAAATTATCTTTAACTTCCTGTGATCCTAATTTTTCCCTATAAATAGCGCAATTTAAATAAACTATTTTTCATATTTCGGGCTTAGTTGTCATTAGCTTTATTTGCGCTGATATTAGCTTATTGTGTTCTGATATATTTACACCACGCGCACATAATACGGCATAGATCTTGGATTCTGCCGTGACAATCGTACACATACATATCACTCTAAACTAACAAAATTTAATTCTTTTGTGCTGTAAAAATAATCGTTTGATCTTTCTTATTTCTTTTAGCTTAAAAGAAAATACAAATAATTTTATACCCAATCATAAAATTATCTAAATTTGTGTTTGAAGATTAAACGTTTTCTTCGCTTTTCACACACTTTACCCTCGACATAATTCATTGTCATACCCAAAACTTTGACGAGATAGTGTTGCTGTTTTAAAACCCAGCCGATTTTGAATTCAAAATTGTCCGCCTATACTGGTTGGCAACCAAGACAGACTTTGCCCGTAAACTTACCTGTGAAGTATAGTGTCATATCCTCACCTCAATTGGTGTCACTATTGAGGTTTCTACAACAGGTAGGTAAGGGAAGGAAAAGATGAGTGCATAGCTTTCCTGAAGGTAAGAGGGTATAAGTATACTCGGCCGAAATTTGAACTAGGGATATCGAATCAATTTTCCCGCCGATAACCACTACATATGCAGATAGAGAACAAATCATTTTATAAACAATCTAAGAAAAAAAGGAATTGCTAGAATTATTATGTTAATTGAGAGTTGCATCTTTCTTTCTTCATCATTGTATATATTAATTCATTTTTGTTTGCTGTATTATAAATGGTATTATCTTATGATATGTGCAGTATTTGTAATTAAAAAATAATAAGTGGCCATTAGTAATTTCATTCCGTTTGTCTACTACAAACCTTGGGATTATACACAGAGTATTTAGTAAAACATTCTACAAGGAAAAACTCGTCATATGATGAGAAATGATAATTATAATGTTAATATTAGCTGTTTCATTATAAGGAAACATTCAGAATACATTGACCGAATATCCAGTGCTAATCTTGTACTCGTTATATTCTAGATACAGTTTATCACACGACAACATGTATAGTGATGATAATATTAGCAGTTTTCTTATAAGGAAACATTCAACATTGATTCACCGAGCATCTAGTGTTACTTCCGGTGAAAATTTTCAATATATTCTATTAAAAGTGTTTTCAGGTAAATAGTTTTCTATGGTTCAGTAATTGTTATCTCTCTTCTACAATGGATGGGATTTGCTTTTTAGCCTTTTAGTTGAAGTAATGTGCAACGTTAATATCTGAAATTATATCATGAAGTTCTCGTCAACTTCCTTGTGCTATGCTTTTTGTATGTTGCTGCTGTTGAAAGTCCTCAAAGGATGTGTATTTTTCTTGTTATCTATTACAGTTCTTTGTTTTTCTACGGTGGTACTTCCCGAGTTCTGAATAAGGATGTTCCACGCAAACACTTAGATTTTTCATTAGCTCGAACCCATTTTAACTATTTATCTGATAAAGCGGTTCTATACATCAGTTTAGATTTTCCTAATGAGTTTGGCGTCACGCATAACAGCCATGTGGAAATTTCGACCTAACGAGGTTATTAATGCGTAACATACCTCTGTGTGTCTGATATTGTTGTATGGTGCTGATTGTTTTGATGGTATTTATTACTAATCTCTTTAAAAGAAAGGGAATGTGATACAGACAGTAGAAAAAAAGGTCAAACTACCCTTCGCATGCTTCAAAGGAAGAATAGAGTAAAATCGTCACGCAACTTTGAATACATTTTAATAATAGTAATGATAATAATTAAGTAAAAGAGAAAAGAAGGGATAGAAAAGAGTTCGGAAAAAAGTCTAAATAAATTTCGCGGATAAATGTCCGTGGATGTACTAATGCGTGAGTTTGCGCGCAATATAAGTAGTACGAAGAGTCATATATATATATATATATATATATATATATATATATACATATATATATATATATATATATATATATATATATATGAATGATATATTTTATATACTGTTATATATATATATATATACATACTTTTTTTTATTCTCTTTTTATTTTCTTCTCTTTTCTCTTTTTTTTCTTTTTTATCGGTATACCTGTCTGGATGGATTATTTCCATTTCTTAAAAAATATTTGGTCTGAAGAGATGAATATTCCAATATTCATTTAATAAATTATAACCGACATGGAATTTTTAAGGTGTTTTCTTAATTCATCATTATATATATATATATATATATATATATATATATATATATATATATATATATATATATATGTGTGTGTGTGTGTGTGCGTGTGTGTGTATCTATCTATGTCATTGTATGTCTATATATTTATGGATAGAATTAACTGTTTAGGCTGTTTCTTTCTGTGGTCGACGCAGTTGGATATTTGTTTAAGAATTAATCTCCTCTTTGTCAATTTCTTTGTATGGCGTGAGTGTCCAAATAAGAAACCTTCCATCGGCATTGGTGTGAGTGAGTGAATGCGCCGTATGTTTCCTTGTCTGTGCTTCCTGTGATTACTATTGTGTTCTCTCCGTGTATACTTGCAGTGCTTGCTTGGGTGTCTGTGTTTGCTTCTCCGTGTGTTCCTGTGGGTCGTATTCAAATGACATTCGGTGCGTTCTTATATAGGCCGGTGTTAGGCGACGACCGAAAGGCTAAATTCAATTTTGTCGCGTTTCCATTAGTTGAGAAAATCACGTGGTATTCTTACTGCTACATTCGTATGCTGGTAACACCAAGTCTGCTTTTACGAATCATAAGTGTAGTTGTAGAGGGAATTTGAAAATGTATTTTTAATTATTTATCTTCCTGTATTCTCAAAGTTCCACCAATATTTCCTTTTTTTTTTCAGAATAAAATATTTTAACTTAAATATATATTCAATATTAAGTACCGAATAATAATTATAAAACGGAGAGAAATTGAACAAAAATAATTAAAAGCATCGAATAAAATAAATTGAAATGAAAGAGAGTCGGAAAAAAATAAGAGTTGCAGTGAAAGGTTGGATGAAAATGAAGAAACTTTCAACAATATATCAATAAAAAAAGAATGAAAGAGATAATAATGAATGACAAGTTAAAAACGAGATAGGAAATCAAGAGAATGAATGAAAGATGCACAAAAAGAAAAAAAAGCGAATAATAAAACAAAGAAACCTAAGATAGTAAAGAAAGAAAGAAAGAAAGAAAGTAAATAGAATGAGAAAAAAAAGAAGGAAGAAAAAGAAAGAAAGGATGAGAAAGGGAGAAGAACGAGAGCGAAAAAGATGAAAATACAACGAAGAAGAAATTTTGTAATGAAAGAAGAAGCGTATGAAAACAAAATGAAAGAGAAGATTAAGAAAACAAAAACAAAAAATGAAATAAATGAGCGAGTAAGAAAGCAAAGAATTGAAAAAAATAAACAGAAATAAAAATTCAAAACAAACAAAGAATATAGAACGAAATGGTAGACAGGGAAATGAAGAAAGAAGCTAATAAGAAAGAAAAAAAAAGGAGACAGCAAACAATTAAAAGATATGTGAAACAAAAAAGAAAGAAAAGCCCAAAATAGAAAACAAAAAGGAAAGAAACAAATAAATAAAAAACAAAGAAGAAAAAAAAAACGTCATAAAAATAGAGTACAAACGATGGTAAAAAAAAAGGGGAAAATAAAAAAAAAAGATATTGCCGAAAGAATTAAATTTAGCCGGACGTAATTTACAGCACCTCCATAGCCTCACATGACTTGAAGTTACAGAAATGTCGGACTACAGAAGGACGGTGAGAAAATTTAAACGAAAATAACAGTTATGCATAACAACAGGCAGAGATATTTGAAATTTCTAGGGCACATAAGGAGGCAAGAGGGTTTGGAAGTTTTGATAATCAGACTGAAGGCAAGAACGACATTAAAGAAAAAATATAAAACAAAAAAAAAACATACGCATAACCTACGTGAAAAGCTTGAGTAAATGAATGATGGAATGTGGTTTAGGAGAAATGACAGAAAGACAAAGATTTTTTTACCAGCCACAAACGAAAAAAAAATGTGGAGAGCCATGATAGGCAAAGCCCTGAAGAGATAGGCCAAGAAGAAGAAGAAGAAGAAGAAGAAGAAGAAGAAGAAAATGTTGAAAAGTAAGAGAACAATGGAGTAAGATTCTCAAAGAGAGGAAGAAGAAGAAGAAGAAGTAAGAAAACATTCGAGCAAGATTCTCAAGAAGAAGAAGAAGAAGTAAGAGAACAATCGAGCAAGATTCTCAAGGAGAAGAAGAAGAAGAAGAAGAAGAAGAAGAGAACAATGGAGTAAGATTCTCAAGAAGAAGAAGAAGAAGAAGAAGAAGAAGAAGAAGAAGAAGGAAGAGAACAATGGAGTAAGATTCTCAAGGAGAAGAAGAAGAAGAAGAAGAAGAAGAAGAAGAAGAAGAAGAAGAAGGAAGAGAACAATGGAGTAAGATTCTCAAGGAGAGGAAGAAGAAGAATGTGAAGTAAGAGAACAATGGAGTAAAATTCTCAAGAAGAAAAAGAAGAAAATGTTGAAAAGTAAGAGAAAAATGGAATAAGATTCTCAACAAGCAAATGCTTTCACATGTCATAAAAATATCAGCTTTGAAGCAGGCGAATAATTCAAAACGCTTCGCTGATCCTGGTAGAGAGCTGTCAATATGAAACCTCTAAAGAATATACAAATCCAATGTCTGCCTGACACTGATATATCTCGATAATGTAAATCCAGGAAATATTTTATATGTTAAGCAATCGAAACCGGAAATTTAAAATCAGACCCTCTTCACAATGATATTATTCAAATGGGATGACAAAAGCAATGTCACCATTATCGTCTTAATATACCCGCCTGACAGCAATATTAACAGTATTTAAATGGGCATCATCATCTATTACTGATAAAAAATTAGTTCCACCTCAAATCCGTCCTGGGCATGAGGATAAACTACATCCACGTCCTGGGCAAGACGATAAACTATGTCCAACAGCAAGGCCTCTGGTCAGGAGCCATTGAGGGTCGTGAGACCACCTCTTAGTTCCTGGTGTTCCCAGGTTCACCTTGATCCGTGGTGGTAGCACTTGTCAGGGTCCTAGCAGAGTGGTGTCAAAACACTATGAGAGCGTAAAAAATAGGTTTTAATACTAGCAATACTTTTTTATAAAAATTTTTACCAGCAATGAATTTTTGAAAAAAAAATACCAGCAATAAAAATATTGACGGCATTAAATAACCCACTGAGGTTGATATGCCGTAAAGAAAACCCCCAAAAAAACAAAAGATAAAAACAACAACAAACCAAACCAAGAGGGCACAGAATCCCCAATATGCACTTCATGCCAAGAGAAATTTACAGTGAAACATATACTGTTAGAGTGTGCGGATTTTGTTCTAGTGCTAACAAAGTATTACCAAAGTATTATATAAAAAAAAAAAATTACCAAAGTATTATATAAAAAAAAAAATTACCAAAGTATTATTTAAAAAAAAAATTACCAAAGTATTATTATTTAAAAATTACCAAAGTATTATTAAAAAAAATTACCAAAGTATTATTTAAAAAAAAAATTTAAAACTTTTTACGAAAATAAAATCATCCAAGTTTCCAAATTTCCTAAAAGAAGTTGGCTTAGACTAAAAAATATGAGTAATTAAAAAATGGTTCAAATATATATGTATACATAGCGATCTATTTTTTTAAAACTAAACCATCGCTATGAATCTATTTCAAAATCTTGTTGGCATTAAAAGATCCACTGAGGTTGATATGCCATAAAACAAAGCAACCAACCGACCAACATATTCTAAGAGTTTTCGGCGATTCGCTTTGAAGTAATGACTACCGAGTAAATCTAGTTCACTATTACTACGGAGCAATGAGATGCATCCATAAAAGCGGCCTTCTACCGTAAGCTGAGTAAAAAAAAAAAAAAAACCCTAAGTAGGACAACAATATTGTTTGACCCTCACTGCTAAGAAATTTGATATTCTTCGGCGGTTTAGTGCCAAAATTCCAATCGAGATCTTTGCATTCACTTACGCAAAAATACCCTTGGGAAAAGTATGAATCCATCTCTTCTCTCCCCAGTTATGGATTAAATACCTAGACAGACAGAGTTCTACAGCCTTGGTTGAGAATCAGTCTACCATAGAAAAAATGGCAACATGCAACAGGAAAATCTGGCAATCAGTCATGAATCGAATAACATGATAGCCCAGGCGTGTATGACACTTTACTGATTGAGTAATAAAAAAAATAAAAATAAACGTTGAGTGACCCACTTTTGCACAATGCTCAGTGATAAACCTTGATTGGTCATCAATACTGAGTAGTGTTTTCAATCCTCATGGGGGATACAGACAATTGGTCTTTTGCTAAACTATACTTAACAAAATAACTCTCTGGGTGCCTCAGTGTTGCCTAATGCTTTGTGATAAAGATTGATTGATCATCATTACTGAGTAATGGTCTCGATCCTCATAGGGGAAAATAGAAGTGGCCAGACATAGAACAACTATTTGATCGACACAGTTAGGCACACTATTCAACGAGAAAGCTTGGTTTAGCATCACTTCTGAGTACTGAATTCGATCCTCATAGGGAATCGATACAGGTGCCCTTTTGCTAATATATTCTATGATTAAACACCACTCACCAAAAAAAAAAAAAAAAAAAGAAGAAAAAAAAAAATTATTTCCGCATCTCCGTGTTGTGCATAACTTTTTTTTTCTTGAAACCTTGCACGGTTATCTCTTCCGAGTAGTGTCTTGGATCCTAATGGGGATCAATACAAGTGGCCTTTTGCTAAACTATACCAAGCTTAACATAAAACAACACATAGGACGCCTCAGAATGGGTTGATACTGACCAAGATTGGTTGGCCAGCACTACTAAGCAGCCAGTTCGATCCTCAATGAGTGCAACGGGATGGTGTACAAAACTTAAACTAAAAACAGTAGGAATCTAGCGCTGACTACTCTAAGAATAATTTTGGCACTATGACTATTGACGTGTATCACAGGTAGTAGTATTGGAAATTTATGAGGTTTTGTGAAATCAGTTATAAAATCTGCATCTATATGATTAGCGAGTGGGCACCTCGAAGCGGTGTAATGGTTAGCAAGTTTGTTTTGCTAGAACAATTACAACTGAGTAGTGAGTTCGATCCTCACTGGGCGCCCCTTACTTTCGGCCTTGGCCACATCTAAGCTACGCTTGGTAAATCACTATATGATTAGCGAGTTCGATAGTCACTAAGTAACCGCATATACAAAGCAGAGTTTAGTAAGTAAATAGGTAATAAAATGGTCAGCGAACAAGTTTAGTTAGCCATTACTACTACCTTCATCTACGACTCACTAATTTTAGATTGTGTTGAACTAAGTATAGTAAATATATGGTGTCCCAACAAAACTGACAATATTTAAAATGCGAATATCTGAGTAACTACATGTCCAGACAAATGAAAGTGAATTAGCTTCATGTTGAATAATAACAGTATTATTTATCAAATTTTAAATAAGATATTCAAAGGGATGTGGATTTTATAACTGATTTCACAAAGCCTCATAAATTTCCAATATGTGTACAACCAGTGATACACGTCAAGTTGGTAGTGTAGATCCTGCCAAACACGCTGTAGCATGTGTTGCGTAACATTAAAATCCTGCTAACATGGAAGTACCCAAGAATCATTTGAGGCACATAATGCTTTATGAGTTCAAGAAAGGAAACTCAGCAGCCGAAGCGGGTAGAAACATTCACTCAGTTTATGGAGAGGAATATGTGAATGAAAGAACTTGCAGAAGATGGTTTGCAAAATTCAGAGGTGGAGATTTCACCCTTGAAGATGAAGATCGAACCGGACGTACAGTTGAGTTTGATGAAAAGCTTCTTGAAGCAGCCCTTGGAGAAAATCCTGCTTTATCAGTTGAGGAATTGGCAGTGGTTCTCAGTTTAAACCATACAACTGTTCATCGTCATCTTCAACAACATGGAGAAGTTCTTCAACTTGGAAAATGGGTGCCTCATGAATTGTCTGAAAACAACCTCAAATCCCGAGTTGACATCTGCTCTTCTCTCCATTCTCGCCAACTTATTTCAACTTTTCTGGATAGACTTGTGACTGGCGACAAAAAATGGATCTTTTATCGAAATGTTAAGCATCGTAGACAGTGGCTTGGTAAAGGGAAAGGACCCCATCCACAGCCGAGAAGGGAACTTCATGGGCAAAAGTTTCTTCTTTCAATCTGGTGAGATCGCCAAGGAATAATCCACTTTGAATTCTTACCACCTAATGCAACAATTAATGCTCAAATATACTGTCAACAATTAGAGCGTTTGAACCAAGCTTTGGGGGAAAAGACCTGCTCTAGTGAATCGAAAAGAGGTGATGTTTCATCAGGAAAATGCGCGACCCCACACAGCAAGAATCACGTCACAAAAGATCGAAGAACTTGGTTGGGAGAAAATTCCCCATCCACCATATTCTCCCGATCTTGCTCCTTCAGATTACCATTTGTTTCGTAGCTTACAGAATCATTTGGAAGAAACAGCTTTTGTAACACAGGAAGAGGTTAAAACTGACATTTGTGAGTTCTTCGAATCAAAGCCAAAAGAATTTT